AGCTCAGCCACACTCCTGGCCAGCAAGAGACAGTGATCTTCTAGCAGTCATCCATTGGAGGAGGGGTGAGTTTTCTCCTGTCCCGGGGGCTTTGGCTAGGAGGAATTCAGTCTTTCCCCGCCCCCCTCGACTTTCTGGTCACCAGGCAGAGGAGGCTCCTCCCTGCAGAGCTCTCCCAAATCCTGTCCCAGTCTTTATCCAGGCACACCTTCCTCTCTTCCCCCCTTCCCTCTGGGGCCACAAGATCTCCCCAGAGCAGCTCCCTTGCGCACTGGACCGGGGCTGTGAGTGCAACCCGGCAGGAGGGAGTGCCTGTTTTTCAATAGACTGCCTGCCGAAAGGCAGACCTTCTGTCAGTGAAGTCCCTGCCCAACAAGGGAACCTGACCTGGTACCAGAAGATCCAATAGAGAGCATTTGAAGGAAGAGATGGGCAGACGCCGAGGCAAGAACTCCTCCAACAATCTAAAAAACAACATGAAAACACCAGATACCCATGACCCTACAATAGAAGGTCTTGAACCTCTTAATTCAGAAGAAGCGGGAAAAAATGCCATTATGAAAGCAATAGAGTCCCTTAAACAGGATATGAATAACTCCCTTAAAGAACTGGATGAGAAGTACAACAAAAAGATTGAAGAAATGAGTAAAGAAATGGATGAGAAATATAACAAAAAGTTCGAAGAAATGAGTAAATTCATGAATGATACACTGGAAAACCAAGAAAAAACAATCAAACAGGTAATGGAAACAGTTCAAGAATTGAAAACTGAAATGGAGTCAATGAAGAAAACACAAAACGAGGGCCGGCTGGATATGGAAAATCTAGGTAAATGAACAGAGACTACAGAATCAAGCATAACCAATAGGATACAAGAGATGGAAGAACGAATCTCAGAGTCTGAAGATGCCATAGAGAAAATAAATGCTCTGATCAAAGAAAACAGCAAATCCAATAAATTCTCATCACAAAACATTCAAGAAATCTGGGACACAATAAAAAAACCAAATCTAAGAATAATAGGGATTGAAGAAGGAGAAGAACTGCAGATCAAAGGACCAGAAAATATATTCAACAAAATTATAGAAGAAAACTTTCCCAACATAAAGAATGATACTCCTATGAAGGTTAAAGAAGCATACAGAACACCGAATAGACTTGATCAAAAAAAAACATCCCCTCGCCATATAATAATCAAAACACAAAACATACAGATTAAAGAAAGAATATTAAGAGCTGCAAAGGAAAAAGGGCAAGTAACTTATAAAGGTAAACCTATCAGACTTACACCGGACTTCTCTATGGAAACCATGAAAGACAGAAGGTCCTGGATAGAGGTACTGCAGAAACTAAGAGAGCATGGATGCAAACCCAGACTACTATACCCAGCCAAGCTATCGTTCACTATCAATGGAGAAAACAAAATATTCCAAGATAAGAACAAATTTAAACAATTTGTAGCCACAAACCCAGCCTTACTGAAAGTAATAGAAGGAAAATCGCAACCCAAGGAATCCAACATTGCCAACATTACCTACAATAACTCAGACATCTAGCGACCCTTCACAAGCTTAACTCAAAAAAGGGACACATACAAACTCTATTAAACAAATAAACAAAAAATAATAACCAGAGTCAACAACCACTGGTCATTAATATCACTTAATATTAATGGACTCAATTCACCTATAAAAAGGCACAGACTAAGAGATTGGATACGAAAACAGGATCCAACATTCTGCTGTTTACAAGAAACACACCTTAACCACAAAGACAGACATCTACTCAGAGTAAAGGGCTGGGAAAAGATTTTTCAAGCAAATGGACCAAAGAAACAAGCAGGTGTGGCCATTTTAATTTCCAAAAAAATTGATTTCAAACTAAAATCAATCAGAAGATATGGAGATGGACATTTCATACTCATAACAGGAACAATTCATCAGGAGGAAGTCTCAATCCTGAATATCTACGCCCCTAATATAAAGCCTCCTACTTATGTAAAAGAAACACTTCTAGAACTCAAGGCAGTCATCAAACCACACACACTAATAGTAGGAGACTTCAACACTCCTCTCTCACCAATGGACAGGTCAATCAGACAGAAACCTAACAGAGAAATAAGAGAATTATTGGAGGTATTGAATCAAATGGACTTAACAGACATCTATAGAACGTTCCACCCAAATAGGAAAGAATATACCTTCTTCTCTGCAGCTCATGGAACCTTCTCGAAAATTGACCACATACTGGGTAACAAAGCAAACTTCCACAGATACAAAAAAATATTAGTAACCACCTGTGTCTTGTCAGACCACCATGGATTAAAGTTAGAATTCAAGAACAGTGCTACCCCCAGGAAGCCAACAAATTCATGGAAGTTGAACAGTCAACTACTGAATCACCCCTGGGTCAAGGAAGAAATAAAGAAAGAAATTAAAGTCTTCCTTGAATTTAATGAAAATAAAGACACAACATACTCAAACCTATGGGACACTATGAAAGCAGTGCTAAGAGGAAAGTTCATAGCACTAAGTGCCCAATTAAAGAAAACGGAGAAAGCACACATTGGAGACTTAGCAGCACACTTGAAAGCTCTAGAAAAAAAAGAAGCTGATTCACCCAGGAGGTCTAGAAGACTGGAAATAATCAAACTGAGGGCTGAAATCAACAAAATAGAAACAGAGAAAACAATCCAAAGAATCAATGAATCAAAAAGCTGGTTCTTGGAGAAAATCAACAAGATCGACAAGCCCCTATCCAAATTAATCAAACGGCAGAGAGAGAACATGCAAATTAATAAGATCAGAAATGAAAAGGGGGACATAACCACAGAGGCAGAGGAAATTCAGAGAATCATTAGATCTTACTACGAAAATTTATATGCCACAAAGTTGGAAAATGTACAAGAAATGGACATTTTTTTAGATAAGTACCATATACCAAAGTTGAACCAAGACCAGGTGAACAATCTAAACAGACCAGTCAGTCGTGAAGAATTAGAAGCTGTTATTAAAAATCTCCCTACCAAAAAAAGCCCAGGACCAGATGGTTTCAATGCAGAATTCTACCAGAACTTCCAGGAAGAGCTAATACCTATACTCCTTAATGTATTTCACAATATAGAAACAGAAGAATCATTGCCAAACTCTTTTTATGAGGCTACAGTTACCCTGATACCAAAACCACACAAAGACACGACCAAGAAAGAGAATTACAGACCAATCTCACTCATGAACATTGACGCAAAAATACTCAATAAAATACTGGCAAACCAAATCCAAGAATACATTAGAAAAATTATCCATTATGATCAAGTGGGCTTCATCCCAGAGATGCAGGGCTGGTTCAACATACGCAAATCTATCAATGTAATCCATCATATAAATAAACTGAAAGAAAAAACCATATGATCATTTCATTGGATGCTGAAAAAGCATTTGACAAAATTCAACACCCATTTATGATAAAGGTGTTGGAGAGACTGGGGATACAAGGATCATACCTAAATATAATAAAAGCAATATACAGCAAGCCATCAGCTAACATCAAATTGAATGGAGAGAAACTCAAAGCCTTTCCTCTAAAATCAGGAACACGACAAGGCTGTCCACTCTCTCCATACCTCTTCAAGATAGTGCTTGAAGTTCTAGCAATAGCAATAAGACAACATAAGGGGATCAAGGGGATACGAATTGGAAAGGATGAAGTTAAACTTTCGTTATTTGCAGACGATATGATAGTGTACATAAGCGATCCCAAAAACTCTACCAAAAAACTCCTACAGTTGATAAACACCTTTAGTAATGTGGCAGGATACAAGATCAACTCCAAAAAATCGGTAGCCCTCCTATACACAAAGGATAAAGAAGCAGAGAGGGAAATCAGAGAAACATCACCTTTCATGATAGCCACAAATAGCATAAAGTATCTTGGGGTAACTCTAACCAAGGAAGTGAATGACCTATTTGATAAGAACTTTAAGTCCTTGAAGAAAGAAATTGAGGAGGATACCAGAAAATGGAAAGACCTCCCCTGCTCTTGGATTGGGAGAATCAACATAGTAAAAATGGCAATTCTACCAAAAGCAATCTATAGATTCAATGCAATTCCCATCAAAATCCCATCAAACTTCTTCACAGACCTGGAGAGAACAATAATCAAGTTTATATGGAAAAACAAAAAACCCAGGATAGCCAAAACAATCTTATACAATAAAGGAACTTCTGGAGGCATTACCATCCCTGACTTCAAACTCTATTACACAGCAACAGTATTGAAAACAGTTTGGTATTGACATAACAACAGAGAAGTCGACCTATGGAACCGAATAGAAGACCCGGGTATTAACCCACAAACGTATGA